GTTCAGTTGGAAGAACGCAAAGAGGCAATGAAAACTAAAAGGGTACACTCCCGAAGGAGGCGCAGGAGCAGAGGACATGGGCATAACATGTGCATGAATTGAAGGTGACAGACAGGTTGAGAGAATAATTAATAAAGCTTACGGCATTCGTGGCTTTTTCAATTGGGTATAGTAGTGGCCACTGGCTCAGCCTCAACCAGTATTACATCTAATCCTAGGCACTATTCTTAGAAATGAAGTGAACACAAACGAGAGTGCGCAGAAAAGATTTACAAAATGGTTTAAGGGATAAGGAAATTCAACTTAAATTGAAAAAAAAAAGAGAAATTGGAAATGTGCTCCGTGGAGAAGACAAAGTGTGAAAGTAGAATAGATAGAGATGTGCAAAATCAAGAAATGGCTGGACAGAGTATATAAACTGTACTCATTGTTGGAAGGATGAAAAAAAGGCTGAACGGAATTAAGGTAATTGATAACTCATACAAGCAAGTGGTTAGAATCTAGAATGCTCTGCGGAGCTACAGGGAAAAACTAAAGGGAAAAGCATTAGGTGAACTACTCCTTCAGAAAGTCAGTATTGACATGATGGGCCAAATGACTTCCTTTTGTGTTGTAACTATTGAATGATTCTACAATTCTATAAATCATCTCCAGTTCATCTGAAAAGAGGTCCTCCACAATTGCTCCATTAAAACATTTTGAACACTTCTATTAAATATCCCCTTAACTTCTTCAGCCCCGGGAGAAAAACTATAATTTCTCCAGTTTCTGCAAATAACTGAATTCTAGATCATTGTGACCATTGTGATAAAACTCGCCTGCACACTCTCCAAGACCTCACTTCTTTTTTTTAAAGGATTGGTCCCCAGGATTGGCCACAATAGTTATATTACCACATAAACTTGAGTGCTCTTCAGACAGCAACTATGATTGCAGAAATATAATCATCACCGCCATTTATCAAGAAAGGCTTGGTGTTTGGTGTTACGACTCTTATCTGAGTTAGAACGTTGGTCATTCAAACCTATCTCCAGAGACTGAAGAACATAATCCAGACTGATATTTTAGTGCAAAGGGCTTTACCTTCAGTGTCACAACCATTTCAATAAATCATTAAGCCAAGGGTCAGCAAGTCCTCTCAGTGGATGTAAAAGATCCTATGGCACTAAACTGAAGATGAACAGAGGGCTTTTCCAGTAGTGTAGCCAACAATTAATCCATCAATAAATAAAAGGGATAATATCTCATTGTTACTTCTGATCATGCTCAATGCATATAGTTCATTAGTTCTCAGGCAAATTGGAACATCCAGAGGTTGTGAAAGGTGGCTATGTCAAATAATGCCTTTTATATGGCCATTTTTTAAATTAAAATTCCACACTTTAATATGTGTTATATTTCCTCTAACCTAATAAAAAATGGAGAAAGCCAACACTGGTGCAATCCAGTATATGGCACTTATAGATTGGGCTATTTCACTACCCAAGGATTACTTCTATCCTTCTTTTTGTTCAAAGGCTTTCTTCACATTGGAAGTCATTGAGAAACTAGTGTAGAGTCACGCTTAGGGGTGAGGGGCGTGGATAGTGAGTACAAAACAAAAGGAGCACAGGATCCCAGATTAGCACTGATATTCTCAGTGCAAAGAAAGCAGAGGATTACCAGAACGAACACAGATTTCAGGCAAGGGTGAGTGATACTGACCAGAATGCTACATTGAGATGGGATGGCAGGGGCGCCATGGAATTAACACCATACCCACCTCCTACCTGTCCCAATTTTGGAAGCCACAGGGAAGATGTTGGGTAGCTCACTCATCTGTGGCTTCATTGAGCACCTTACATAGCCAACAATGGTCTGCTGTTGGGATTTTACCATTGGTGTTGGAGGCTGGTGCAGTGTTCAACCCATCAGGAGGACTAGTGGCTGGGCAAAGTGGGAGTGGAACAGGTGCCTCCTTCTCAGGCACTGTGCCCATTAATAGCTCCTCTAATCCAGGAGCCCTCCCACCAGCCCTGACAATCCTGGATCCCACCTCGGCTCAGTTGAGATCCAAGACTTACTTTCAAGTTTGAGCTCCACCAGCATCTCTTCTTCAGGGCTGCCTATATTCCAATGGAGCCACTACTGTTCCTCTGACCAGCTAGCAGCTCTCAGAGGTAGAAGGCCCGATGGTTGTTAAATGACAGAATGAGCTGGTCAACCAGAGGTGATGGTGTCAATACTTTTATGCTGGGGACAGGCACCCTACCCTCAGCACAAAATTCAGCTCTCTAATTTTACCACCATCACTCCCTCCCTGTTATGCAAGGATCAAAGGAGCAGCCAACCAGGGAATACACAGGACACAGAGGCTAAACTGGTCCACAACTCAATTGTAGTTGTGCAGAGTTTTGTCATCAACAGAGTTTAGAAACATCAATTAAGACTTTTTCTTAATTCACTCATGGGATTTTGGCATCACAGCATTTTTTGCCTGTTCCTTGCTATCCTTGAAATTTGACATTAGAAGAAGATCTCCAGAGATACTCAACCATCCAGAAACATCGAACAGTGTCAGTGAAGTCACTGCTGTGACTGATACCCATGTTAGTTCAAAGAAGCTGGGGCCCATTGCTTCCTAAATGAATTTTTCCTTGATAACAGCAACTTTTTTTTTTAAAAAAAACACATTTTTCTGGACATAATCCAGCATAGGTTACCTCAGTGGTCAGTACTTGCACAATACTGTAAGCGGTAACATTATTTTGTCAGAACATGCTTTTACGATTATGAAATTTGGCACACAAGTCTAAAACCTCAATTTGGTAAACCCCTTTGATGTGAAGTAGTGTTTTATGGAAAGATTGATATGTGAATGTTGCAAAGAGCACTAAACTGAAATACATGCAAGAGAAATAATCTTTTGAACTCATGGTAGTTTGATATTGTGCTAATGAAGTAATTCATGGTGGGGAGAAAATGGTCTTGCGTAATTTAACATTAATTGTGTGATAATTTCCTCCACAAGGATGATAATTTTAAATTATTTAAGTAATAAGACAACAATCATAAATATCATCAGATTACTATAACTGAAGATCTCCACTTAGGTGTTTTAAGGTACAGATGGATTATAAACTGTAGCTCTTTTTGGAATTACTGGCCACTTCAATACTACACTGGGGGTCAATTAGCTCAGTTAGCTGGATGCCTTGTCTGTGATGCAGAATGATGCCAGTGTGGGTTCAATTCCTGCACTGGCTGAGGTTACAATGAAGGACTCTCCTTCTCAACCTCTCCCTTCATCGGAGGCTAAACCAACACCAGTTTTCTCTTAATAACGCGAGACAGCACTCCCATGGTCCGGTAGGACGAGGGAGACTACTTTTAGTCAACATCTGAGTGAAATGCTAAGGCATGCAAAGGGAATATAGTAGCATAGTGGTTATGACACTGGGTTAATGATTAGGCGATACAAGTTCTAGTCCCACCATAGCAACTAGGAAAAAAAAATGGTCTTAGCAACGATTCCCTTTAGGGAAGAAACCCAATGTCCTTATCTGATCCGCCCTATATGTAACTCCAGACTCACAACGATGTTGCTGACTCTTATGTAACCACTGAAATGGCTTAACAAGCTGCTCAAGTTGCATTCGCCAAGGGGACTAATAAGCATCTTCTGAAAGGCAACGGGTAATAAATTCTGGTCCAACCAACACCACCTGCAATTCTCAAATGAATAACAAAAAACATATGACTTGCCCCACCACTAACCGGAACGCAATTGCACTCTGAACATGATTCAAATTTAGATCTTGAATCGAAGTGTCCAAAAATAGTTTCTTGAAAAATGCAAAATAGAGCTTAGGCCTTAATTAGCAAATCAACAAATTACTGAAGTGACAGGTGCAGCAAAATGGTCTTTATACACCACACCCTCTAAAAATGGGATACCACTTAGAGATGCAAGAACAACAATTTGTAGTATTTTAGTGTGACTCAAATTTTTAAAATTCAATCCAGTCAAGTTATTTTTCCTACAGTTTCTCAATTTCCATGCAAACAGCTCACTAAGTCTGTAACCTAGCAAGAAACCTGGAAGACTTGCTTGGAATGAACAACTTCAAAAAGGATAAAACTTGGGGTTTACATACACAGTGGAAATTACTGCAGGATTTCTGAGTTATGAAATCCTTGTGAAACTGACAAAATTTCCCATTTCCTGCTAAATGACACCATCAAGCAGATGAAATACTACATTATTAGACCTAGAGTGAGGTATTTGGTAAGTTTAAACAAGTTGGCAATGGCAACAAGCACATGACCCTTTTCAAGAAGAAGCAAGAAAACCATTTCTGGTCATGTCTTGACCACAGAGAATCACAAATACTTTGTCATCGCTCATCATGCTGGCAGGTGCAAAAGCAAATAGCTGTGAATAATGACGTAAATTAAGTTTTTAATATTTTTACACATTCTCCTATATATAGCAAAGATGATTCAGAGCATTCATGGTATACACCCCACTGAACAGATTAGATGACAAAATATTTGAGAAAAGAAGTTGATAAACAGATTCCAGTCTTAAATTGTTCAAAGTGATGCTTATTTTCTTTAGAAAGATCACAGTTTATTCAATCTGTCCAATTTCAATGTTTATTCTTGTTTTAACAACATTTTTAAGCACAAGATCCAAGAGCTGAATCTTACCAGAAATCAGCAAAGTATCATTTTTAAGAGGTTTCATGGAGGGTTTCGCTCCACGAGCCAGAGAAATTTTTCTCACACTCTTTCCGAACTTGCCTTAATAACTATTCGCCACAACCCTACGACACCCGACTTCTCATTCTGCCAGGCACAGATGGTCTGGCCATTCCTGAAACCTCCTGGATTCCTGGTGCAGCCAACACCTTTAAAGTCCAGTCATGAATCTGGTCAAGCACTGGCAATGTTCGGCAGAGGGTAGCCCGTTACCCCCCCAATCCTTTGCTTATGGGGATCTGGAGATCCTGCTGGACGCAGCTGCGCGTGGTTGTTGCCAACGAAGCGTGGCCCGAGACACTGGGGATTGATTGAGATCCGGAGGAGCCAGTGGCGAGCCAGAGTCACTGCGTTTCAATACTGACTTTAATATGGGAATTGTCAACATGTAGTTTCTATCTGGGGGGATGGGAGAATCAGAAACTGCATATCAATGAGGAGAACTTAATAATGAGATGTTATTCCATGTTAATGCAAGCAAATGGGCCTCTTCCCACTTGCTAGTGAGAAGCTGGTCTTGGGTTTCAACACTTGGTTGGAAAATGGGACTTCTTGTTCTCAACAGAGGGAAGATCCTCGATGCCCATCTCACACAATTCTTTCAATGTTCTCACACATCGTTTAGAGGCTGGGAAGATTCCAACCCAAATGTTTGCTAGCAGGTTCCTCTATGCAAACAACATGTTTCAATGGCTGTGAGTCATTACTAAAATATAATCATGCCCACGGAAAAGTACCTCAAATTTTAATTTCTCATGAAAAATGCATGTTGAAAAACAAACAAACACTCATTTAAAGTCAACATGTTCAACAATTCTATTTCTGTGGAAATGTGCAGAAATGTTTACTAATAGCCTGCGCATTCAGCTCCAAAACCACAGAATGCTTATATAACAGGCTTGTTAAAAATGCAGTTGCACCCACTGAGCATATTTGGTTTTCATCAAAGGATTAATTATAGTTTGATGATAATGATCACTATTCCCAGGAGCTGGGCTTGGCTCGCCAATGTTAATGTGCAGTGTTTCACACCAGTCTATTAATAGGCCACCAGAATGATCACTGCTCAGTTATCAGTGGAACAACCAATGATTTTTGAAGCTAAGGTCCCATGCCAGGGATGGGCTGCATTTTCACATCAGTGACTCCAGTGCACAGAAACATCCACTCATCTGGATTTTGCTAAGCTTCAGTCAATTTGAACTCAATGATTTGCAGAAGACAGCACTTATGTAGAGGACTTATGCCAGTGGGCATATATTCACATTTCCACTTGTACACCAACCGCAATGGCAATAGCCCTTTTCTAAGTCGTACTCTTCCAGAAAAATGATGAAAGCGTCACTGTCTTGAAGAAAGAGGAGTACTAAGGCTTGATCAAGGCTAAATGTGAGAGGAACTATAAAATTTATGGCAATTCATGACACTGCTACATGCAAGTGACAGGCTAACTTTTTCCTCTGATTTAATTTAAGTCATTGCAGTCATATGCGTAAATAAACAGATGAGAAAAGAATTTCCAAATTCAGTTAGTGAACACAATTCTTTATAAACTTTACCATTTGATAAAACAAAGATGCTGCTCGTGGTGACAGAAATTTTATTTATTTTGCATTTGGGTTTTGCTGGCAACCCTTAGGCAAATGATGCCTTGTTGCTCTCGAGAATCTAGTGGTGAGTCTTCTCCTTGAGGTGTCCAAATTCATATGGTGAATGCTGTCCATGCTGTTAGCAAGGGAATTTCAGGATATTTGCCAAGCAACCAAGGAGATATGATGACATAGGAACCAATTAAGAATGGTTTGTGACATGGAGGCAGTATCTGTAGTCCAAGCCCTTCATAGACTAGAAGGCGTAGGAGCAAAGGTAGGCCATTCAGCCCACTGAATCTGCTCGACCATTCAATGAGATTGCGGCTGATCTCATAACGTTAATATTCAAGTGAATCACTTAACGACCAAGTCTCAAAAGCCCTGCAGTAAATAATTCTACAGCTTCATTACCACCAGAAAATTTAAAAAAATCCTCATTTCTGTCTTAAGATTTGATCCCTTATCCTGAGATAATGCTCTTTGCTTAGAGACTGTCCCAAAAGGGGAGACAACCTCCCCTTCAAGTCTTCTAGGATCATGAATGTTTCAATAATGTCACTGTTCATTCCACTACACTCCAATCAAGTACAAGCTCAATCTACTCAACCTCTCCTCAAAAGGAAAAGCTTCCGTACTCAGAATCAAACTAATGAACCTTCGCTTGAAAGCTTCCAATACAATGGTCTGCTATCGTATCCTTTATTATAGACTCTAACACTTTCCCAATTACCGATGTTAAGTTAACTGGCCTATAATTACTGCTGTTTGTCTCCTGTCATTTTCAAATAATGGCGTTATATATTGACAGTTTTCCAATATTCCAGAACATTTCTGGAATCTAAGGATTCTTGGAAGATTATTACCAATGCATCAACTATATCTGTAGTTACTTCCTTTAAAATCCAGAGGACTTATCAGACTTTAATGTCCCTTGTAATTTTTCTTAAGTGATAATTACTGTGTTTACTTTCTTCCCTCCACACCTCCTTTAGCTCCTTGATTATTTAGTCTTTTTGGATTGTTCTTTGAAGACTCTGCATAAATAATTTGCATCAGATAGTAAGAACTGCCAATGCTGGAGTCAGAGATAACACAATGCCCACTTCTGAAGGAGGGTCCCGAACCGAAACGTCAGCTTTCCTGCTCCTCTGATGCTGCCTGGCCCACTGTGCTCCTCCAGCCCCACACTGTTACCAAATTATTTATTCAACTTCTCTGCCATTTCCTGGTTCTCCATTACTATTTCGCTGGCAACCTGGATCTATTTCCAGTGTGGCCTCTTTCTTGTTTTCTTTATGTATTCAACAAATCGGTTACTGTCTATTTTGTATTACTCCCAAGTTTTCCTTTTTTGCTTTAGTCATCTTTTGTTGGCTTTTAAAACTTTCCCAAACCTCAGTTTACTACTAGCCTTTGACACATAGCGTGCTTTTTCTTTCAACTTGTACTATTCTTAACTAGGCTAATCATGGCTGGTTTACCCCTTCCTAGAACCCTTATTCCTCACCACATCTTTGCTGTATGTCGTTATCTATTTTCCTAGGAGATCGTGAAGGCATTGGTGATGATCTTTCAGGAATCATTGGAGTCAGGGAGGATCCCAGAGAACTGGAAAATGGCAAACGTAACACCCTCATTTAAAGGAGGGAGGCAGACAGACAGAAGATGGGAAAATATAGACCAGTTGGCTTGACCTCAGCTATTGGCAAAATTTTACGAGTCCATTATGAAGGATGAGATTGCGATGTACTTGGAAGTACAAAGTAGAATAGAGCTGAGTCAGCATATCATCATACAAAATGACAAAACTGTTAGAATTCTTTGAGGAGGTAATGAGCAAGTTAGACAAAGGACAGCCAGTAGAGGTGAACTATCCAGATTTAAAGAAGACCTTTGACAAGGTGTCACACAGAAGACTACTAAATAAGGTCAGAGGCCATGGCGCTGGGGCAAGATACTGGTGTGGATACAGGATTGGCTGACGAGCAAGAGAGAGATTAGGGATAATAGGGGTCATTTCCAGTACGGCAGCCAGTGGACTAGGGGAGTTCCGCAGGGGCCTGTGTCGGCACCACAATTATTCACATTATTTAACGATCTGAACAAAGGAACGGAGGCCATTGTTGGTAAGTTTGCAGATGTTACAAAGATATGTGGAAGGACAGGTAATGTTAAGGAAGGCTGCAGAAGGATTTCAAAAGGCTAGGAGAGTGGGCAAATAAGTGGTAGATGGAATACACATTCTCACATTGTGAGATAATGTGCTTTGATAAGAAGAATAGAGATGAGACTATTTTCTAAACAGGCAAAGGCTTCAGAAATCTGAAGAACAAAGGGACTTAGAGCCCAAGTTCAGGATTCTCTTAAGGATAACATGCCAGTTTAGTTGGCAGTTAGGAAGGTAAATTTAATGCTAGGTTTAATTTTGACAAGGCTAGAATACAAAAGCAGAGATATACTGCTTAGGCTGTAAAAGGCTCTAGACAGACCACACTGGAATATTGTGAGCAGTTTTGGGTTCCATGTCTAAGGAAGGATGTGCTGACGTTGGAGGGGTCCAGAGAGGGTTTATGAGAATAATCCTGGGGACTGGAGGCCTTGTCATATGAGGAGTGGTTGACACTCTGGGTCTGTACTTGATAGAATTTAGAAGGATTAGAGGGATATCTTGTTGAAACTTGCAGAATTCTGAGGGGCCTGGGTAGAGTGGACATGGGAAAGATGTTTCTGCTAGTAGGAGAGACTATGATCCGAGGGCACTAGCCTCAACTACTTTTTCCTGCTAAACTGCTTTACCGATCCACTCCAGCCAACTCAGCCCTCATCTCTATGTAATCACTCTTATTTAAGTTTAGCAGTTTTTCACTCTCAAGCTGAATGCTAAATTCTACCATGTATGGTCACTGTTCCTTAGAGGACTCTTACGCTGAGATCATTTACTAAATCTTCCTCATTATACATTACCAGCTCCAAAATAGCCTGATCCCTGGTTGGATCCACAACACACTGTTTTTGGAAACTGTTTCCAAGGCAGTCTGAATTTTTACTTGCGACTACCTTTGCCAAATTTGATTTGCCCACTGTACGTGAAGTTTACAGATACCCTCAAATAATATCCTCATTCTTTGTCCTACAGAACAGCCACAATTAAGGATACTATGGACTACGTGCACTAGTTCTTCCTCCCCATGTTATTTTGTCACTCATGTGGATTCTGTATCATCTGACCTTAGATCATTTCTTGAAATATTGGGGGGTGGGGGTGGGGGGGGGGGGGGGGGGGCAGTGGAATGGTGCAGTGCATCCACAGTGTGCTTCTGAACAGGATTAATGTCTAAACTGGAAGCCAATCAACACTTACCCAAGAGAAACATTTCACACCTCTGAAACTATCTGCGTTAGCAAGGAGACAGAATTGTCGGAACATTTACCACTTCTTGAATACCTTCCATACCCCAACATGCACATTTGGGCATCCCATAGCCACTCTAGAAACCCAGGAGGAGGGAACAAAAAAAAAAGTGAACTTTGTCCTAACTTTGGCTCAATTATTTCTTTTTATAATTTTTGTGATTAAAATGGGGTTGTATTTCCCTGTGCCGGTGTCTTGTGATTGCTTCTCCACTTAAAACATCTGTATGCGTTTATCTTTTTTTTTAAGATCTAGCATTTTTAAATTTGTTGGGAATTGTGGTGACTTGTACACATCTCACTATTTTCATAAATACAATTGACAATAAATTGCTATTCTATTTACATGAAAGCATGATGGCAACTGATAAAGATCAATACAATGGGACACGGAAA